TCCATTTAATTTAATTCATCTATATCTCTTTCATTAGCTTTTTGTAGTTTAAGCATGTAGCTTTTGGACCTCATTATTAGATTTATGTCCTAAGGGGTCAGGCATGGTAGCATACACCTGTAATCCCAGTGGCTCGTAAGGCTGAGATAGGAGGATGGCGATTTCAAAGCCAGCCTCAGCAACTTAGTAAGGTCCTAAGCAATTTAGCCAGACCCTGTTTCTAATAAAGTATAGAAAACTGCTGGGGATGTGGCTCAGTGGTTAAGTACCCTTGGCTTCCATTCCCAGTAACCCCCCCCCCCCCCAAAAAAAAAAAAGAAAAGAAAAATTTTGTGGGTTTTGATTTTGTAAGTGACACTAGTTTAATACATTTCAAGACTCATTTGTTGAGTGCTGGCATGAAGAAACATGGCTTTGTGTGTGTTTGTGAGACACTAGGGATTGAATCTAGGGATTGAATCCAGGGCTTTAGGCATGGCTTTAGGCATGCTAAGCAAGCATTCTACCACTGAACTGCTTCCCCAGACCTTTTTTTTCCGGGGTGGGGGCGGGGTTTACTGGGAATTGAACTCAGGGGCACTCAACCACTGAGCCACATCCCCAGCCCTATTTCGTACTTTATTTAGAGATAGGGTCTCACTGAGTTGCCTAGCACCTACCTTTTGCTGAAGCTGGCTTTGAATTCATGATCCTCCTGCCTCAGCCTCCCGAGCCGCTGGAATCATCACTGCGCCTGGCTCAGACTTTTTTTGAGACAGGGTTTTGCTAAATCGCCAAGCCTGGCTTTGAATTTGTAATCCTCCTGGCTTAGCATCCTGAGTCACTGGGATTTATAATAATGTGCCATTGCACACAGCCATGATTGATTTTTTGTGTGTGTGTGGTGCTGGGGATTGAACCTAGGGCCTTGTGCATGCAAGGCAAGTACTCTACCAACTGAGCTATATCCCCAGCCCTCACAATTGATTTTTATAGTGATCTTTTATCCTGTGGTGTTACTCTCTAGTGCTAGTATTTGCTTTAGAACGTCAGTTTTTTTTTTTTTTAATTTTTTAATCTTTTATTTTATTTATTTATTTTTATGTGGTGCTGAGAATCAAACCCAGTGCTTTGTATGCGCTAGGCGAGTGCTCTATTGCTGAGCTACAGCCCCAGCCCTAGAATGTCAATTTTTTTTAGTGATTTTTATATATGTGTATGTGTACATATACAGAGTTTTAATATTTAATTTCACTTGTTTACTGAGTCATTTTTTTCTTTGTGTAGATCTTTGTATTTGTCTGCTGTTATGGTTTTTTACCTGAAGATGTTTGTCTTTATCATTTCTTTCTTTTTATTTTTATTTTTTTAAAGAGAGAGAGAGAGAATTTTTTAATGTTTATTTTTTAGTTTTCGGCGGACACAACATCTTTGTTTGTATGTGGTGCTGAGGATCGAACCGGGGCCACACGCATGCCAGGCGAGCGCACTACCGCTTCAGCCACATCCCCAGCCCCTTTATCATTTCTTATAATGTAGATCTGTTGTAATAAATTCTATCATATTTTGTTTGAAAATGTCTTTCTATTTTTTTGAAAGACTTTTTTATACTAGGTATAGAAATATAAATTGATAGAATTATTTCCCCAATACTATGAAGGTGTCATTGTATGATTCACATACGTTTTGACAGAGAGATTGCAACCTTTTTTTTGTTGTTGTTTACTTTCTCGTTGACTTAGATTTTCTTTTCTTTTGGTTTTAACAGTTTGAGCATCATGTGTCTGTATTTTTTTTTTTTTTTTTTTAATTTTCCTTTTGGAGGTTCTCTGAGACTCTTATTGGGTTTGATACCTTTTATTATTTTTACCAAATTCTTGGCCATTTTCTCCAAATACTTCTTTTGCCTTGTCTCTTTTTCTTTTCCTCTAGAATTCCTCTGATATGTTAAGACAATTTGATATTGTCCTGCTGTTCTTGAATGCTTGCCTCTTCTTCCTCCCCCTTTCTTCCCATTTTATATTTTCATTTGGGTAATTTTGACTTCAAGTTAACTGATTCTTTTTTTCTTCATGGCAAATATGTTGATGAGTGCATCAAAAGAATTCTCCCTCTCCTCCTCATTTTTGTTACTAGGGATTGAATCCAGAGACTCTCTACTACTGAGCTATATCATTAGCCCTTTATATTTTATTTTAAATTACTACTGAGCTATATCCCTCGCCCTTTATATTTTATTTTATTTTTAAATTTTGAGCCAGGGTCTCACTAAGTTGAGGGCTTCACCAAGTTTCTGAAGTTAGTCTTGAACTTGTGATCCTCCTGCCTCAGCTTCTAGAGTCTGGGATTGCAGGTGTGTGCCATGGTACTGGACCCAACAAAAGAATTCTGAATCTCTTTTATCATTCTTTAAAAATGCATTTTACATTTTTTTATCATTTGCATTTGACTCAAGATTTTTATCTCTGCTAAAATTCCTTGTTTATTCATGCTTATTGTCTGCTCTTTAATGAGAACCTTTAACACACTGTTATTTTTTAAACTCTTTTTTTTTTTTTTTGTACTTAGGATTGAACTCAGTGGGCACTCAACCACTGAGCCACATCCCCAGACCTTTTTTTTTTTTTTGTATTTTATTTAGAGGCATTTTTTTTTTTCTGTTTCTTGCTGTGCTATTGACATTGAAATTTTCTCCCTTTGCTCTTTTGTGTGTCTCCTAACTTTTAATTGAAAGCTAGATAGTGTTTAAGAAATTTAAGACTAAGTTAAATAGTATTTATGCTTAGAAATGGCTTGCTTTTTCTGTTAAGATTCTAGTGTGGAGCTATGTAATCAGTCTAGGCAGAAGTTGAGTTAGGTTTGCATATTATGGTTGCTATACTTACCTTTAGTTCATATTTACTTCTGGTTGCTCTATTACTTGGTTGATTTGATGCAGCATTTTCTTTAATGTTTCTGCTCTATGTTGCACTTAAGCCTTCCTTATTTCCCTGTTTCATAGAGGGCTTTTCCCTCATGTTCCAGTTCTTTCCCTAATGGTAGATTCCCATTGCTCCTGCTTTCTTGTGCTTGCTAGCCTGGTTGGTAGGAGTGTGGTAATTCTCTTGTTTTTCTGGTCCAGCTTTAGCCTTAGGAGGCTTTTTGTCCTTGAGTCTTGGGGGCAGGCTTTATCAAAGATCACATCCCTCCCCACCTGGAAACCTTTAATTGTTTGAACTCATCATGTCCTCCCATTGAAGCGGAGGACTTTTTTTCCCCAGGTACTTTTTTTATTGGTGCATTATATATTTTTTATTGGTGCATAATGGTGGGATTTCTTGTTACATATTCATATATATGTACAATATAACACTTTCATTTTCTAGTATTTCCCCTTTCCCTTCCCTCCTCCTTCCCCCTGGTCCCTTTCCTCTTTTCTATTGATCTTCTTTCGATTTTCATGAGATCCCACACACACACCTTTCTTTTCCTTTTTTCTCTCTAGCTTCTACATATGAGAGCAAATATTAAAACTCTTGGCCTTCTGAGTTTGGCTTATTAACATGTGGTATCAAGTTCCACCATTTTTTCTGCAAATGATATGATTTTATTTTTCTTTATGGCTGAATAAAACTCCATTGTTTACATGTATCACATTTTCTTTATCCATTCATTGGTTGATGGACACCTAGGCTGGTCCCATAGTTTGGGTATGTTTGTATGGCTATTGTATGTTGACTTTAATTCTTTAGGATAAATACCAAGGAGCTGTATGGCTGGGTCATATGGTGGTTCCATTCCTAGTCTTTTAAGAAACCTCAGTATTGATTTCCATAGTGGTTGAACTAATTACAATTCCAAGACAGAAGGCCTTTTTTTTTTTTTTTTTTTGTATTTTTCCTTTCTTCAACAGAAGCAGGTTTGTTGTTGGTGGTGGTACTGAGGATTGAACCCAGAGGTGCTCTGTCACTGAGCTACACCTCCAGCCCTTTTTTTGTTTGTTTGTTTTATTTTTTAATTTTGAAACAGAGTATTGCCTAGTTGCCAAGGCTGGCCTTGGAGTGGCAGTTTTCCTGCCTTGGCCTTCAGAGTTTCTGGGAATACAGGCGTGTGCCACTGTGCCTGGGAACAGTTTGTTTTACATGTGCCCTTGGGATAACAGTGTTTGATATCCTTCTCTCAGTATTTTAAACTGGCCTTTCTTGTAGGACAAGGGTATTGGCAGCATTAGTAAATGCAGTTTCTCACTTCCCCCAGACCTGTACACCAAGAAATCCTTTTTCCAATCCCCACCAGCCCTCAGTCTTAATTATTAGTGTGGAGGTTTGTGGAGAAAGAACTTGCAAGTGGGTGCTAATTAGAGCTTCCAAGTGGATACAAACTCTTGTGTGTGTGATACCAGAGATTTTGTATTTTCATTCCAGCCTCACTCAGTTATTAACAATGTGTTAAATATGGTTGTGTTTTTCTTACTTGTATTGCAGCTTAATTTTCTTCCTGTCTTCTGTCACATGTGACCTGCTTGTGTCCCACGTTGTCTTTTTTTTTTTTTTTTTTTAAGGTTAGCTGGTTATTCTACAACCTCAGCTTCTGATGCATTCAGAACAGTTATGATTTTGTAGATTACTTGACTTTTTGTTGTTGGAGTGGGAGTGTTTTTCCAGTTTCTACATTCTAGATGGAGGCTGAAATTCCTTTGTAATTAAAGGTACTCTTTTGAATTTTTCACTTTGATTTAGGAACTATTTTGAAGTTCAGGTTGCAAGTATAGTCTGAGTTCCTGTGAAACCTTCACCTAATTTCCCCGTTTTTAGCTTTTTTTCCCCCCAAATACTTTATTACTATCTTCCTAATTATTTTATAAATTATTATTATTGAACCATTTGGGAATAGGGTGCCTCAGCCTCATGACTGTTTACCCCTGAATACTTCAGTCTCAGTGTTTAAAAACTTGGTAATATATGAAGATTTGAGTGTGTCAAAAATTATATAGTGATGTGTATCAATAATTTGTATTCATTAAAACTTCTTTCTGTCTGTAGGTATCATTAATGGGATTGGAAATTTTAAGTGCCTTTGTGGACAGATTATCAACACGATTTAAATCCTATGTAGCAATGGGTAAGTTAACTTTATTTAAAAATCATTGTAGAGTTTGATGTGGTGACTTTTTTCTCCTAGTTTTCGAACAGAATTAGTTCAGTGTAAATTAAAAAACAGCTTTGTACAATCGAGGGATCTGCTCTTTATTATTTTAGTTTACCCTAAGATTTTGACCTATTTAAAGAATTATATCCCCTTTGAGGAAAAAGCAAATAACCCCAAGAAACAAATAATGAAACAAAAGAAATTGCTAAGTAGTGTTAATAGATTTTTTTATGTTGTATTTTCAGATTTTTTTTACTTGATCTCTTACTGAAGTTTATAATATAGCTTATAGTCTATGGGGAATGATCAGTTCTTTCATTGCCAAACTGTTCAGATCAGTATTTTATAGAACATAACAAATAAATTACAACAAAATTAAATGAAAAAAATGAAAGTCACATTTTTTATTCGTACATTGTAATTATACATAATAGTGGAATTAATTATTGCATATTTGTACATACACACAATAGAACAATAAAATTTGGTTAGTTTTGTTCCCCAGTACTTCAAAGACTTATTTTTGTTTTTTGCTTTGGTTTTGATGTTGAGAATTGAACCGTGGGTCTTGCACATATATCCTATCACTGAGATATAACCCCAGCCCCTTGATTTTTTTTTTTTTTTTTGTGATACTAGATATTGAATCCAGAGACCTACTACTATTGAGCTACATCCCCAGCCCTTTTTATTTTTTAATTTTGAGACAGGACCTTATTAGGTTGCTGAGCAGTTCTCAAACTTGCAGTCTTCCTGCCTTAGCCTTCTGAGTAGCTGGGATTATAGGCATGAACACAGATTACAGGCATGTATCACTATATTCTGAATTCCTGAACTAAACTCAGTTTTCTATTATTAGATCCAGCAAACAAAATCAGTTGAGTTAGATTGCTTTAAAAACGTTTCCTAAACACTCTTAGTTTCTTTCTTTTTTTTTGAGGGAGGTACTAGATGTTAAACTCAGGGGCACTCAACTACTGAGCCACATTCCCATCCCTATTTTGTATTTTATTTAGAGACAGGGTCTTGCCGAGTTGCTTAGCACCTCGCATTTGCTGACATTGGCTTTGAACTCACAATCCTCTTACCTCAGCGTCTCGAGCCGAGCCGCTGGGATCACAGGTGTCTGCCATCATGCCCAGCAACACTCTCAATTTCTTTATTAAAGTTTGTATACTGATCCTGAGCTTCTGGGTCTACTTTGGCACTTACTATGTGTTTGCTATGTACTATAATTTGCTAGTATAATCCTCTGTGTATTTTAATTCTAATTGCAAAGTTTGCTCTAACTTATTTTCTAAATCTGAGTCACCTGATTCATTTTCTAAACTGTGACTTTTAGAATGCTATATGAATGAATTTGGTTCAATTTTATAACCATATAATCTTAAATGTTAATGATTTCTTTTATGGATTCAGTTGATGCTTCATATTTAAGTGTATATCACACTTACTTTTAAATATCTTGGTTCAACTTTTTTATTATGCTTGGTATGCCACCAAATCCAGTCAGTTCTTTTTTTTTTTTTCCTAGCTATCTTCTCAGCATCAACATCTAATAGGTTTCTCTGTAATATTCACTTTTTTTTAATATTTATTTTTTTAGTTGTAGTTGGACACAATACCTTTATTCCATTCATTTATTTTTATATGGTTGGTGCTGAGGATCGAATCCAGGGCCCTGCGCATGCTAGGCGAGCGCTCTACCACTGAGCCACAATCCCAGCCCCATGTAATATTCACTTTTAATCATAATCTTGATTTCAGCCCCTCTTTTATATTCTGATCTTCTGAAAAGATTTTTTTCTGTCAATGTTCTGCTTAAAACTCTGTAGTAAATGTTAAAAACTATGCTCTGAAAACTTATTTTACTTGCCTTTGTGTTTTCTTAAAATGTTTGACTAAGCATTTAAAATTGGGAAATTTTTAAATTTTTATTTAAAATTTTCCCAATTTAAAATAAAAATTTATATTTCTGACTTCGAGAAACTGGCCAATGTGTCATTCTTCCATTCTGACATGTAATTGTTGACTGAAGCTGTGTTGTAGCTTACTTTTTGTCTGGGTCATGAGCTTTCTAATTCATAAGCCATGTTGTTTTCTTATAACTGAGAATGCTAGGTATTGTATAGTAAGAATGAAATTCTGCACTTAAACTGATTCAGTTTTGGCATTTCTTGTGAAAACGTGACTGTAGTAATTTGTATTTGTAATCTCTGCCCTTTAGTAGCTCCTTGCTATTAATTGTTACAGAGAGCATTTTAGATTTGAGAGTATTTCTGGGTATTATGTATCTTACTTGTTTTTCAAACACTAGGAAGGCCAGATGGGGTTTGATATACTGCCTGCTCATTTTGAAGCAAGAGGAATAATGGGATTAGAGTTCTAGTTATTGACTCTTTAAAAAAAAAAAAAAGATTTTTTTTAGTTGTAGTTGGACACAATACCTTTATTTTATTTATTTAGTTTTATGTGATGCTGAGGATCTCAACCGCTGAGTCACAACCTCAGCCCCTAGTTATCTATCGACTCTTAACACTGTCCTCTTTTCATAACTTTTGTTATGTTGTCCTTGGTGTTCAAGTTCTCTTGCTATATATATATCTCTTCTCCATCTCAATAATCTTTTTCTTCATAATCTTCAGGAAGTACTTTCTGTCCACCCTAATTTAGCAGAAACTTTCATACTCTTTTTAGGTATAGCTTACCTTGTTTATGCTTCTGTTGTGCTGTTATTTCTTTTTGAGATTCTTTCTTTTCTGTGGTTGTTTTCTTTCCCTTCTAGAAATGTGCTTTAGATTTCAGTATCTGGGAGCTTTTAAGATTGACCTCGGGCTGGGGATATAGCTCAGTTGGTAGAGTGCTTGCCTCATATGCACAAGGCCCTGGGTTCAATCCCCAGCACCACCAAAAAACCCCAAAACAACAACAACAACAAAAAACCCACCAGATTTTAGGGGGCCAGGGTTGTGGCTCAGTGGTAGAGCGCTTGCCTAGCATGGGTGAGGCACTGGGTTTGATCCCTGGCACCAAATAAAAACAAAGAAAATAAAGATATTGTGTCCATCTACAACTAAAGAAAGATTAAAAAAACAACATGGAGGCTGGGGTTGTGGCTCAGTGGTAAAGTGCTTGCCTGGCATGTGTAAGGCACCGGGTTTGATTCTTAGCACCACATATAAATAAATTAATAAAGTAAAGGTCCATCAACAATTTAAAAAAAAAAAAGGATTGACCTCATCTCACCCCCAATTTTTTTTTTAACTCTGTGTCTCTTATACCTTTAAGTACTTAATAAATTACATTCAGTTGCTTTTTTGGGAGAGTGTTTTCCCAATTAGATGCCACATGTCCATTCATACACTTATAATGAATGGATTTTTCCTTTAATTTCCTACCCTTTCTGTGCATTTACTATTAGTCAATATTGTTTTCACTTTGAGGGACCTTAATTGCTCTTAACAAAACTTGAACCTATTTTTACTTGAGGGTTGATATGGTGTAATAGAAAAGTTTGTAATCATAGCTTGCTACCATTTTTTAATGCCTACTTTTTACCATGTACTAGGCCTATGAACTTTACATATATGAAAGAGTAACCTCATATGAAATTTCTAATTTGGAGAAGTAAGCTGCTTTTTGAACCAACATTTGAGTTTTATTTTGGAGTTAATTTTTTATTTTGGAGTTAAATTCTACTTCTCAGAAGTGTATTTTTTTCCATCTCTATTATATGGTTGTTAATGCATGAACATGCACATATACTGAAACACCTCAAATTGTAAGTTAATGGGTGGTCATGAGTGGAACCTCATATTGTCTAGTGAAACCATTTGAATCCTGGTTTCACTACTTGCCATTTGTGTGACTTTGGGCAAGCTGTTTAATCCCTCTAAGCCTTTTTTTTTTTTTTTTAATATTTATTTGTTAGGTGTAGATGGACACAACACAATGCCTTTATGTGGTGCTGAGAATCGAACCTGGGTCCCGCCAGTGCTAGCTAGGCGAGCACTCTACCGCTGAGCCACGATCCCAGCCCTCTACCTTCTTTATGGAGTGGACTTACTCTGTTTCTTAGGATTGTTGCTAAGATTAATTGAGATATTACTACATAATATCTAACATTTAGATATTATTATCTTCTGCTATTTAGAAGCTGTTAGAACCATAGTCTCCTAAAAGCCAATCTTACACTTGAGTAATTCCTCTAGTTTTAGTAACACATCTGAGTAGGATGAGAAAGATTTAAATGATTCCCACTGATCTTGTAATTAGGCTGCTGCTCTGCTGCTGCTGCTGCTGCTGCTTCTTCTTTTTTTTAATGGTGAGGGCTTTGTTTCCTTACATAGTCATTTACTTGATTAAGCTTAAGATTTTTGGATGATGCCACATTTGGTATAACTGGGCTCTACTCAAGTAATTTTCTTCCCAAAACAATGAAATTTCTTTTACCTCAAGTGTTGTTGAACCTTATTACATGGGTTTTGATTATTGCAGTGTAGACAAATATATTAGCATCAAATTACATACACATGTAATTATACCTGTCTATAAATAAACTAGGCAAATACTCCTTTTTAAAAAATATTTATATATATGTTAATTGTAGATGGACACAGTACCTTTATTTATTTATTTGTATGTGGTGCTGAGGATTGAACCCAGTGCCTCACATGTGCAGGGCAAGTGCTCTACCACTGAGCCACAACCCCAGCCCAAATACTGCTTTCATGATTTAATTTTTTCCTACTTCCCTTGTTTTAGACTTAGGCCTGCAGTCCCTGTGAGAAAGAAAGGCTATATAGATGTAATGATAAAAGAGAAATAAAAAAAGTTTCTCTGTATTTAAACAAGGAGGATGATAATAGTGATAGTATGTGACATAGATAGTATTCTGTGCTGTACATTCTCTGAGTTGTTTACATCTTATCTTTTAATTTTTAGTAACTTCTCTGAGGTAGTATTGCTACCCATATTTTGTGAAGAAATAGACAAAAAATGTGTTCAAGGTCACACTTCTAATAAAATGACACTAAATGGCAGTGGTAATGAAGGAAATACAGAAAGTTAATTTTTTAAAAAAATATTTATTTTTTAGTTGTAGTTGGACACAATACCTTTATTTTATTTTATTTTTTATGTGGTGCTGAGGATTGAACCCAGGGCCTTGCACATGCTAGGCGAGCATTCTACTGCTGAGCCACAACCCCAGCCCCAGAAAGTTAATTTTTTAAAAAAATTGTTTTTAGTTGTTGATGGACCTTTATTTTATATATTTTTATGTGGTACTGAGGCTTGAACCCAGTGCCTCACACATGCTAGGCAAGTGCTCTACCACTAAGCTATGGCCCCCGCCCCAGGAAAGTTAATTTTGACTGAGATTTTTGTTCTGATTTGAGAACCTGTTCCTTCTGAATTCTACCTCTATTGTCCACTCTCCTCCATTTAAGATGTAATTTCTATGTGGTGCATTGCTGATTTCTAGTTAAAAAACTCCCGATCCTGAAAACTTTCCCAGAATGGATATTAACTTGCCTTTTCTGCTTCTATTCGAGGAATAGTGTCAAAGTCTAGGGTTTGGTAGAAAAAAACCTCAGCCCTGGAGGCTTAGGCTTTTTGCTTCTGTCAGTTGCAGAATATGTCGTACAGGAGAAGAATGCATAACAAACATGTACAATTTAAAGAAAAGTTATAAAATCACTTCTGAGTTAAGAAGGTAAAACTCTGCCAGTACTTTAGACTTTTCCTCTCTGCATTTCTTGATGACACCTCCCTTCTCTCTCTCTTTTTCCAGAGGTCATCCCTGTCACGACCTTGGGAATAAACATTCCCTTGCCTGTGTGTACAGTTTAACTATCTATACATCTCTGTAAATAGAATTATATTTTGTTTTGCCGGTTTGAACATCATCGAAAATGGATGTCATATTGTACATATCCTATTAAACTTGCTTTCAGATGTTTTTGATTCTCATGAATAAAGAACTTAAAACAATTTCTTTACCTTACGAATCTTCATTTATGGAAATGATTGCTATTTGTAGTCTGTAAAATATAGTTTATGATGGAGATGAGTTATATTTACTCTTTTCTTTCCTTCCCTCTCTTTAGTTATTGTAGCTTTAATAGACAGAATGGGAGATGCCAAAGACAAAGTTCGAGATGAAGCTCAAGCTCTGATATTGAAGTTAATGGATCAAGTAGCACCACCCATGGTAAGCCTGCATTTTAAAATTCCAATTTTTCTAATTCATGACATACTATCAGTAAAGATTTATGGTAATCACAGCAAGTTAGTAAAGCTTCAAGAAGCATGAAAACTGAAATTTTAGGCAGTGAATTGATGTTAGTGCTATAAAGAAATTGAAATTTAAGGTGCAATATCAATATTTAATTTTTTTCCTTCTACTCTTTATGCTTTTAAAAAAGTCTTAATTCATAGATGTAAGTTATTTGACAGGATACTGTTTATATTATACTTTAGGATTTCCTGGTTTACAAATTATAAATGTTTATAGAGAAAGTTTATTTGAGAGCTACTGAATATTATGTTATTTCCCTAATTCTTACAAAGACAGGAAGAGAGTCTTTTAATGTGGTTACTAATTATATAAAGCATATATTTTATGACAGCAACCTGTGTTTTATGAATTTAGTAGAAATAATTTGCCATTTTGTAATGTATTTTTCTTTTTTTCTGTTACTATAACAAAATACCTGGAGCTGGATACTTATAAAAATAGATTTATTTAGTTCATAGTTTTGGAGGCTGAAAGTCCAAACAACATAGCACAGGCTCTGGTGTAGATCCCTAGCTGCATCACCACATAGTGAGACAGAAATCCAAGAATGAGGGGGGTGACCAACCAGTCTTTTTTTTTTTTTTTAATATTTATTTTTTAGTTGTAGTTGAACACAATACCTTTATTTTATTTATTTATTTTTATGTGGTGCTGAGGATTGAATCCAGGGCTTCACATATGCTAGGCAAGCATTCTACTGCTGAGTCACAACCCCAGGCCCCAACCAGTCTTTTGACATCCTACTAGGCTCCACCTCATAAGAGTCCTAACATCTCAACACCACCACTAAATATCAAACCTTTAACACATGAACTCTTGGGAAACAAACAATATCCAAACCATAGTATGGAGGTATTGTGAAAGGACAGTAAAAATAAATTAACTTGCAGAGATAAGAGAGTAGCTCAAGTGGAAAAAAAATCAGAATATGTAATATATACAATGATATTATGTGATACTTAAAATGCAACTTAAAGACTGGGATTGTGGCTTAGTGGCAGAGCGCTTGTCTAGCAGGTATAAGGCACTGGGTTCAATCCTCAGCACCACATAAAAATAAATAAATAAAATAAAGGTATGTGTCCATCTACAACTAAAAAAATTTTTTAAAAATGCAACTTAAGGGCTGGGATTGTGGCTCAGCGGTAGAGGGCTCGCCTAGCATGGGCGGGACCCGGGTTCGATTCTCAGCACCACATAAAAATAAAGGCATTGTGTTGTGTTCATCTACACGTAAAATAAATAAATAAATAAATATTTTTTAAAAAATGCAACTTAAAGTTATAATATGTGTTTTATTAAAAAAAATCCTATTTCTGGATTGTTAAAAGTAAATACTGTTCCATGTATTTTAAACCTCAGAATTAAAACTTTATAGTTTGGTAGATATTCTTTGTTTTATGTTTATTGATTTGTATTTTAAGTTGTTGTTGGCTTTTAGTTATTACAAAGTATACTCTAGAGAACATTCTTGTACATGTATCTTTAGACATAAATATATGTGTGGTTTTGTTTGTTTGTTTGTTATTTTTATTTTTTTGTGGTGCTGGGGATTAAACCCAGGGCCTTGTGCATGTGAGGCAAACACTCTACCAACTTAGCTATATCCCCAGCCCTTGAGTATTGTTATTGAGTAGAGTTCCAGAGATGGTGTTGCTGAGTCAGTTTATTCAAAGGGGTACTCTACCATTGATCTACATCTCCAGACCTTTTGCTTTTATTTGGAATCAGGATCTAGCTAAATTGCCCTGTCTGGCTTTGAACTTGGGATTCTACTGCCTAAGCCTCCTGAGTTGCTGGGATTAGAATCTAGTACATAAGACTACACCTGGTTCCTATTTAAAATTTTGAAAAATCAGTGTTTAGATTAGCTTCCTGAAAGTTTGGCAATGAGAGAGAAATATATTAATAGAACTGAATATAGTTTCCAGAAATAATATTGAATCTGGAAAAAAAGGGTGTATGAATTTGGTAGATGGTAAAAGTGTGTTTCCAAATGTGGAAGAAAGATTAATTGGGATGTGTGACTATTTGTTTGAAAAAAATAAAGCTGAATTCCTCGATATGCCAAACTGAAAATATTGTTTTGCAGTATTTGTGTAAGTTTATATTTTTCTTCAGAAATAAACTTATACAAATAGGTAACCATAAAATGACTTGACTTGAAATGGTTTTGTGTTTGGATCCAGGATAAAAAGTAGAAAAAACTTAAATATAAAATCTTTAAAAAGCCTATTCTGTGTGACAGTTTATGTAGTTGCTAGGCAGTGGTGGACCTCTTTAATGTTTACTGGACTTATAATAGTAGCATTGTTATTAAGGTTCTAAAGCAAACAAGAAACCGTATCTTTGGAAATGCTAAGGTTTTTAGGTATTAAGCATTTTTTTTTTTCTGACAATAATTGAAATCTAAAGTAAAAAATTATATATAAAAACTAAAAATATGGTTAAGATACTAAAAGTGGGTAGAAACAACTGCAATGTAAATTTGGCTTAGAAAAATTTTAAGTAAGGGTTAAGCATCCCTAATCCCAAAATCCAAAGTGCTCCAAAATTCAAAACTTTTTGAGCATTGACATGACATCACAAATGGAAAGTTCCACACCTGACCTCATGTGACAGGTTCTACTCCAAACACAGTGCGCTAAAAATGTTGAATAAAATTATCTTCATGTTCTGTGTATGAAGAATATGTAAAACATAAAGGAGTTTTGGGTTCACATTTTGGTCCTATCTCTAAGATATCTTGTGTAAATGCAAATATTCCAAGATCTGAAAAAAATCTAAAACCTGAAACACTTCTGGTCCCAAGCATTTTGGATAAGGGTTACTCTATAGTAGAGAAGTGAACAGTCTGATGAAAAAATTCAGTAACACAATAAAGCTGATAATAAGGTTGGAAAGTGTTAAAATATTGTGGATAATTTAATTTTTCATTTTACATGTTTACTCTTCTTTCAAATAGTATGTTTGGGAACAGTTGACTTCTGGTTTTAAGCACAAGAATTTTCGATCTCGAGAAGGCGTGTGTCTGTGTCTTATTGAAACCTTGAACACGTAAGTTTTATGATTACTGAAAATAGCCTCTACGTTTTCCATTTCTCAGAAATAAAAATTCATTTCACAAGGTTAAGGAAAGTTATGGGAATAAATTTTGAACAGCTATTCATTATCTCCACAAAAATTAATAACTATTGCTAATATTTTTATGCATGTTATTCTTCATGTTAATTTTAATCATTTAGTGATAAGAAGTGTTCTCTATTTTCTTCATTATGTTTATAGTAGCCACCCAAAATAGATGATCATAGAATGGACAGATGTATAACTTAGGATCTATTTCTATTGTGGATCCAATTTGGGATTGTTTTTAACTTAATGGTATTTCACATATTATAGCCATTTTCCTCCTCCGTCCCCCTTTTGCCATTTGGCCTTAAGCTTCCTGGAGCACTGTGGGTGGCTACCAAAATCATACATTGAACAAGATTCTTCCAGGTAACTAGACAGCATAGACATCATAGATGTCACTGGGGCTTTTGTTCTGCTTGGACTATTTTTTCAGATTTTATGCAATCTGATAGGTAGTGTGTAGTAGCTTTCAACTTTTTCTGTAGCATTACTTCCTTAAATATTCTTTCATTTGTTTTCTTTTACTGCTCTATGGTCCTTTCTGCCATCTAGAGCTTGTAAATGCATCCAGTCTACACAATTTTTGTGGGTCTTGGCTCTCCTGTCATTTGCTTTCAACCTGTGAACTCATCCAAATATCAATAATCATAAATTATTATGATCTTTTAATGTACTTATTTCATTGGATTGCATATTTATTTGAGAACCACAGTCTAAGAAAAATCACTCTTTCAAAAGCAAATGCTTTGATTTCGTAAGTAATTGAGAGGTTGCTAGGTTTAAAAGTGCCATTTGTTAAGCATTTTGCTTTTTTGGGTCATGGACAGTTTTCAGTGTCATTATTCAAGTTTGCATATTTCACATTGTTTAGAATTATGTTTTGCTTGTGTCTCATATCCTTCATGTTTTAATGATGTGTGCCCATCTTCTCTACCATAATTGTCATATTGATATAGACAAGAAGAAGGCATAAGGATATTTTGTTTACTATTTTATTGAAACCGAATTCTCTTTTTCTCAAATTATATTTAGTTTTGGGGCTCAGCCACTAGCCATCAGCAAGTTGGTACCACATTTGTGTATCCTATTTGGTGATTCAAATACTCAGGTAAAACTTTATTTATATTCAAGTATTGACTGTTGGCTACCCTTTCTTTTCTGTGCTCTTATCCCATTTTACAAAAAGAAGAAAGGGTGGAGGGTGGCCATGAAACAAAGATTTTTACCTTACTTTTTAAAAAATACATTAAGATTAGTTTTAAACAGCATATTCCACATAGGTTGCTATAGTTTGTCAGTATCTTTGCTAGTATTAAGGATAGATGAAATTTAATAATGGGTTCTTGAGTTTGAGTCACAAAGACTCTGGGTTACCTTATAGTCCTCCTGTGTATTAATTGTGAGGAAAGGTTTTCAGCTTCCTTTACTCCTGAATATAAAAGCTTTTTTGCCTAACATTTTTTTGTAGTAGTTAAAACCTTATTTAACAGGGAGAATTTGTGTTAGTGGTATATTATTTCTTTTTCTTAGCTGTCTGTATTATAGGCTTAATCCAAGAGTATGATCTAGATCTCGTCCCTCCTATTGAAGTTGAATCTTAGCTGTGAAAATTTTGGCATAGCTTAGGCATTTAAATGACCCTAAGTAGGGTTTTCCCTTCTTTCAGGTCTTAGCTGCCCTTTGACAGGTTTGTAGAATGTTCTGTTCAATTGCTGTGTGTGGGTTTTTTTGTTTTTGTTTTTTTTTTTTTTGAGACAGTGTCTTGCTTTGTGGCCCAGGCAGGCCTCACACTCCTGGGCTCTAGTGATTCCCCTGCCTCAGTCTCCTAAGAAGCTGGGACTACAGGTGTGCACCACCACATCCAGCTTTCGCTTGCTTTTTGACAGTGAGCTGTGTAAAGGAACTAGAGCTTTTTAAAAAGTAATTTTCTTTGGGAAATTAAAAAGAAAAATTTCCATTTAATTGTGGTAAAATAATGTACAAAATAAAATTTACCATTCTGACCATTTCAAGTGTATGTTTCACATTTCAGTGCAATTAAATACATTTACATTGTTTGGCAACCATCACCATCATCCATCTTCAGAACATTTTCATCTTCCCAGACTGAAACTTTGTACCCATTAGACAGCTTTCCATTCTTTCCCCTTTGTTCTCCCCAGCTGCTGGCTTTTTGTGTGGAGTTAACTGATCTAGGTACTTCATGGAAATAGAATCATGAAACACTTTTCCTTTTGTTTTGACTTATTTCAGTTAGCATAATATCCTCAGAGTTCATATATATTGTAATACGTTTAAAAATTTCCTTCCATTCAAGTCTTAATAAAATCCTAATCATATACACCACAATTTGTTTATGCATTCATCTGTGGATGAACATTTGGGTTGTTGCTACCTTTTAACTATTAGAATAAGGCTTCTATGAATTTAACCATAATAATTTATATTAGTTATTGATATTTGTTTACATAAATTTATTACAAATAAAATTTTTGAAAGTCACATTAGTAACTTTTATTCACCAGTTTCTTAGATTTCTATAAAATCTTTAAAAAAATGTTTAAAATGAGGTGTCTTTAAAGGTTTCTTGGCTTGTCCTCTTGGTTTTCTGTTAATGACATGTTATAATTTCCCTAGGAGTTAAGAGGCATTAAAACAAGTTGGAGCTTCAAGTTGGTTGCTAGTGTAATATTACCTTGAGGTGAAGTATTTCATTGTGTCATATATAAGTTTCTTTAAAAATTCTGAATTCTTTAACAGGTGAGAGACGCTGCAATATTGGCTATGGTGGAGATTTACAAACATGTAGGAGAGAAAGTGAGGATTGATCTTTATGAGAGAGGAATCCCCCCTGCTAGGTAAGTCTTGCTAAATTTATTTATGTATTGTTTCAAGTTTTAAAAGTTTGTTTCATTTTTGTTTATTTTAAGAAGGTTTAAACTTTTAAAGTGTTTTAAAATTCAAAAGGTATGAAAGGAGGTACATATATAAATTAGCACAATTTACAATGTTCTTAGGATCTTCTTATTTCTGGTCACTTTTATTATATATTCATTTATTATTTAGAATATAATTAAATACCATCATTAGGTAACTATCCTTTGATACCAGGTGGTAAAAGTCATTATTTGGAAGATGCTTGAGTAAGAATTTAGTAAAAATTTTAATTCATTAGTTAAGTAAATATTTGTAAAGTAGTACCTACTGTTGAATGTATTGTACAAGTTATTAGGTAACAAAGATGTATAAGAATCAGCCACTGCTCTTAAAACCTAGTCAAATAAAAAGGAAACCAGGAATATCTGAGTAGTGGGGCTTGGGCTGGAACTGCGTGTGGCTCAGTGGTAGAGCACTTGCCTGGCACATATGAGGCACAGGGTTTGATCCCTAGCACCACATTACAAATAAATAAATAAAGGTATTGTGTCCATCTACAACTAAAAAAAAAAGAAGAATATATGAGTAGTAGACCATTAATTAGTCATATCACTAGCATTTGTTATAACAGAAAATTTTTCAGAGGTGCTTTTTTTCTTTATTACTTACTAGAATTTATTTTATTGAAGATATTCCAACCAAATTCTCTTCTTTTCATAATGAAATTTACTCTGTAAGGGGATTTGTTAAGATGATTTCCTCCACTTTGTATTATGGTATTTGATATGTCAAATAAATACTAAAATAGAATAACACAATGAACTTCTGTGTACCCATTACCCAGCTTTAACAGTTTTCAGCTCATGGCCAATTTGTGTGTTATACAGAGGCCTATTTATCTTTGTTCTCTATTATTGTGAAGTAAATATAAATTGTTATGATATTTTATGTGTATATATTTCTAAAGGAAAAAAATTTATTCACAACTATAAATCCATCATCACATCTTTTTTTTTTTTTTTTTTTCAATTTATCAATTTATCTAGGCAGAGCTTACATTTTCAGTTGCTTCATAAGTATGAGTAATGTACATGTTTTTAGCAGTTTGGTTGAATCAGGATCCAAATAAAGTCCAGTATTACAATTAGTTGATATATTTTGTGATCTTTTAAAATTACGTACCTCAACATTCTTTTTTCCTTGCATTTTATTTGTTGAAAAAGCCAGTAGTTTATCCTGTAAAGTTTCCTATGTTCAATGGTAGACATGGTGATGCATGTCTGTAATCCCTTTGACTTGCTGTTTGAGGTAGGATTGTAAGTTTGAGGCCAGCCTCAGCAATTTAGTGAGCTGCTGTCTCAAAATAACATTTTAAAGAAAGGACTGGGAGTGTAGCTCAGAGGTAGGATGCCTTTGGATTCAATCCCTAGTAGCACCAAAAAAACAACAACAACAACAACAAAAAAAACCCCATATCCTGGATTTTGGTGATTCTTTCCCTATGGTATGGTTCAACATATTCTTTTTTCTTCATATCCTGTGAATTCATAGTTGAATGTAGACATTACATCAGATTTTTTTTTTTTTTTTTTTGGTGGGGGGAGGGCTTGGGAAGAATAAGACTATGTCGTAGGTAGTGGTGTATTCTGTCATGAGTCTCATCATACATATCTGGTTGTGTTACCTTGTGGAGTTTTCTCAGTACCAGTTAATTTCTGATAACAAAATTGTCCAGTAAATATGCTTTCTGTTGATTTGTTCATCTATTCACTTTCTACTTTCAGGGCTAACAAGAATTTCATTTGAGTAAATTCTGCAGCATATTATTTGGATGTAAGAAATACTGTCAGCATATGTATTTTTTTGTATGTGTGAGTGTGTGTGTGTAGGTGTGCATATTACATATTTTAAAATTTATATTGAAATTACTATTTTATTTTTTCTAAGTAAACTTTTATTTTTAGAGTAAATTTAGGTTCATAGAAAAATTGGAAGTATAGAGAATTCCTAAATGTATTTCTATTTCCACACATACATAGCATCCCTGTTATCAATATATTCCACCAAAGTTGTATATTTGTTATTCAGTAATTGATGAATCTACATTGATACATTATTATCTCCCAAAGACCACAATTTGCAATAGGGTTCACCCTAGATGTTGTATATTTTATGAGTTTAAACTGATGTATAATGATATCCATCTATCATTATACTACCTACCATTATACTATCAGACAGAATAATTTAACTGCCTTAAAAAAATCTTTGCATTACCAGTTCATTCCTCCTTTCCCCTAAACCCCTAGTCATTTATTATCTTCATAGTTAACTTCTGCAGAATATTATATAGTTGGAATCATGCAGTATGTAATCCTAAGATTGGCTTCTTCGGTCATATGGATTTAAGTTTCCTCTGTCTTTTCATGGCTTGATAGCATATCTCTTTGTAGTGACAAATACTTTTCTATTTTCTGGATGTACCAGTTTATCTATGCACTTACCTACTGAGAGACATCTTGGTTGCTCCCAAGTTTTGGTAATTATAATAAAAAGTGCTAAAAATATTGTCAGTTTTTTTTAATGGGGCTGTTTTCATATCCTTTGGTTAAATATCAAGGGCTATAATTATTATGGTCTGTTGTATGGAAGAGTATGTTTAATATTGTAAGAAACTGAAAACTGTCTTCCAAAATGGCAGTCTCATTTTGTATTCCTACCAGCTGTGAATGAAGTGTCCTGTTGCTCTATCTTTGCCAGCATGTTATTGTCACTGTTTTAGGTTTTGACCATTCTAACAGTTTTGTAGTGGTATTTAGTCATTTTAATTTGCATTTCCCTGATGACTTATAATTTCGAATATTTTTTCATATGCTAATTGCTATCAGTATTTTTTTTTTGGTGAGGTGTCCAAATCTTTTGCCCATTAAATGAAATTTTGTTCTTTTTCTACTTAGTTTTGAGAAATCTTTGTGTATTTTGGGTAGCAGACTTTATCAGATATGTCTTCTGCAAATAATGTGTCCTAATCTGTGTGGCTTGTCTTATCAACCATCTTTATAGAACAGAAGTTTTTAGTTTTAAGTCCAGCATGTTAATTATTTCTATCATGGATGTCATATTTTAAAAAATCCATCACCAAACCCAAGGTCAACTAGAATTTTTTTCTACATTCTGTGAGTTTTGTAGTAAGTCTTGGGGTTAGGTAGCTATAGTTTAGATATAAGCTGTCGCATAAAAGCTCTCATGTGAGGGCTAGGGTTGTGGCTCAGTGGTAGATCACTCGCCTAGCACGTGCGAGGCCCTGGGTTCGATCCTCAGCACCACATAAGTAAATAAGTAAGTAAAGACATTGTGTCTATCTACAACTAAAAAATTTTTTTTAAAAAAAGCTCTCATGTGAGACAGTGTAAGAAAGTTTAGAGGTGAAATGATTAGGTTACTGAGAGCCTTAATCTAATCAGTGCATTAATCCACTTAAATGTATTAACTGGGTGGTAACTGTAGGCAGGTAGGATGTAGCTGAAGGAGGTTGGTCATTGGGGAGCATGCCTTTGGAGTATATAGTTTGTCCTTGGTGAGCAGAGGAGTCTCTCTCACTGCTTCTTGATTGTCATGTCCTGGGCTTCTTTCCTCTATCACACCCTTCTGCCCTGATGTTCTGCCTTGCCTTGGGCGCACAGCAGTGGAGTCAGCCATCTATGGACTGAGACCTCTGAAATGGTGAGTGTCAAATAAACTTTTCCTCCTCTAAAAATTGTTCTTGTCAGGTCTTTTGGTCACAGCAGCGAAAAAGCTGACTTAAAACACCTTCCAACTTTGTTGTGTTCCTTCCATATTAGCTATTCTAGGTCTTTTGCCTGTTCATTTTAACTTTAGAAACAGTTTGTTATATTCACAAAATAACTTTATGACTGAGCTTGCATAAAATTTATAGGTCAAGTTGGGAAGAAATAACTTTTCAACAACATTGAGTCTTTCCACAAACATGGAGTATGTCTGTATTTCATCCTTCTTTGATTTCAACAGAGTTCTGTACCTTTTCTCATGTAGTTCATATACATATTTTGTTAGATTTATACCAAAGTATTTCATTTTGGTGTGTTCAAATATAAATAGTATTTTTTTTTAAATTTCAAATTCTACCTGTTTCTTGCTTGTAGATACTTGATGTTTTCCATCCATGGTTCTGCATCTACATATTCTACCCATAAATAGTTGGTTGAAATATTTATTGAAAATATTTTTGGAAAAAAAAATCTGTGTCTTTACTGAACATGTACTGACTCCTGTCATTATTCCCTGAATAATAAAGTAAACACCTATTTATCTAGTATTTACATTGTGTTAGATAAAATAAATAATCTAGAGATGATTTAAAATATGTGGGAGGATTTGCATTGACCTATGTATATAAATACTGTGACATTTTATATGTAGGACTTAAGCATCTGCAGATTTTAGTATCCAAGGGGGTTTCCTGGAATTAGTCCTTGCCAAGGGCCAGCTCTAAAGGAAATTAATCAAATCTCTTGTATCCTTGTCACATAATTGCTAATTCCAGATTTTTTTGTCAGTTAATTTGAATTTTCTCCATAGATGATCACGTCATCTGCAAAGACAAAGATGGTTTTATTTCTTGGTTTTCCATAAATACACCTTTTATTTCCTTTTTTTGTCTTACTACATAGTGACTAGGACTAGGACTTCTAGTATGATGTTGAAAAGAAATGGCAAGGTGGGGGTAACATACATGCTTTTTTCTAATTTTGGTAAGAAATTTTCAATTTTTTTTTTTTTAACCAATACTGTCATGTTTGCTTTGGATTTTTTGTAGGTATCTTTTATCAATTTGAGTAAGTTCCCCTTTATTTCTACTTTACTGTTTTTAAAAAAGTTATTATTGGATGTTGTGTTTTGTCAAATGCTTTTTTGCATCTATTGAAAGGATCATTTAAATTATCTTTATAATGTCCATGAA